TGGCTAATTTCTTGATGTCTAAAAGCCTAAGTTTCCCACTGTAAATTGAGAATACTAATAGTATCTTCTTCCAACAGTTGCTAAGTATAAAGTGTTTAATACATTGTCAGTACATGTTTAATACTATTTTGTAAATCTAAGAAAAACTATACTGATTTTAGATAACTTTCTTCTTATGCAGAAGACTTAACCAATGGTTCATATGATGATGTCCTAAATGCTGAACAACTTCGGAAACTCCTTTACCTGCTTGAGTCAACTCAAGATCCTGTAATTATTGAGAAAGCTTTGGTCACTGTGGGTAACAATGCAGCCTTTTCAGTTAACCAAGTAAGTACCCTTATCTCAGCAAACAAGTTCTTCATTGCACACTAATAGTCATTGTGACCCTAGATAAGTTACCTGACTGCCCAGAGCCTAAATTCCTCATCTATGTAATCTGGCTACTTATAGCTACAATGTTTATTTTTAAAAAGCATAACCTCATAGTAATATGATTAATAGGATTCTAGATCCCCACGAAGTTGGTCATTGGCATCACATACATATTAAGTGTATCTAGTCAACATTTAGCATTGCATGAATTTTTTAATTATTTGAACTTTAGCACGTCAGTAAAACAGTAAAAGCATCTAACATTTAAGTACATGCTTTTAAATTGTATGGAAGGTTCAGATGCAGGTAGTCCCTGGACCACACTCTGACAATCAACAGTGAGTATGGAATGGTCTTCAAGTAGAGACTTAACACCAATACTAAAGAGCTGGCTGGTGCAGTGGCTCACACCTGTAATCCTAGTACTCTGGGGGGCTGAGGCAGGTGGATGGCTTGAGTTTCAGAGTTCAAGACCAGCCTGAGCAAGAGTGAAACCCCATCTCTACTAAAAATAGAAAAAGTAGCCAAGCGTATAGCAGGTGCTTATAGTCCCAGCCACTCAGGAAGCTGAAGCAGAAGGATCCCTGGAGCCCAGGAATCTGAGGTTGCTGTGAGCTATGATGATGGCCCCAGCTCTCTATCTAGAGTGACAGAGTGAGATTCTGTCTCAAAAAAAAAAAAAAAAGAAGAAAAACAAAAGAACTTAATTTGAATGTTTCCTCCCTATTCACCCACCTTCCCCATCCCTACTACCCCCATCCATGGAAAAATAGTTTAAATTATTTTTTAATACTTTTAACTAATACCCCTTTTTTTTTGAGACAGATCCTCAAGCTGTCCCCCTAGGTAGAGTGCAGTGGCATCACAGCTCACAGCAACCTCCAGCTCCTGGGCTCAAGCGAGTCTCTTCCCTCAGCCTCCCAAGTAGCTGGGACCACAGGTGCCCGCAGCAAAGCCTGGCTATTTTTTTTGGTTGCAGCCTTCATTGTTGTTTGGCAGGCCCTGGCTGGATTCGAACCCGCCACCGTAGGTGTATATGGCTGGCGCCTTAGCCACTTGAGCCACAGGCTCCAAGCCTAATACCCTTTTTTAACATTGTCATAAATGCAAAATTATTTTCAATATATACTTCATTTCAGCCTCATTTTTTCCAGAATGGCAAGGTTTATTGTGAAGCTGTGAAGATTTATAGGGAGAAGGAGAACCTTTGTGCATTACCCACTCTTTCAGTTACAAGTGACAGAATCCAACTTAAATTATTTTAAGCCACAAAGGGAAAATATTGAGCTCAGCTAACTTGGACATCTAAGAATAGCATTGGTTTCAGGCATAACCAAATCTAGTTCAAGGTTGGAGAAAGAGTTATCATCAGCGCTCTCTTCCTTTTTTTCTTTTCTTTTCTTTTTTTTTTTGAGACAGGAGTCTTGCTGTGTAACCCTAGATAGAGTGCTGTGGCGTCATAGCTCACAGCAACCTCAAACTCTTGGGCTCAAGCTAATCTCTTGCCTTACCTTTCCAAGTAGCTGGAATTACAGATGCCCACCACAATGCCCAGCTTGTTTTTCTGTTTTCAGTAGAGATGAGGTCTCACTATTGCTGGTCTAGAACTCCTGAACTCAAGCGTTACCCCCGCCTTGGCCTCCCAGAGTGCTAGGATTACAGGCGTGAGCCACCACAGCTGGCCAGAGCTATCTTTCTCTACTTTTTGGCTTTGCTTATGCCTGCTTTTCTTTACATATTTGTCTGTCTCTCTGGCCACAGAGAGATTTTCTTCAAAGGGATGGAAAGCCCTTGGCCTCTCAAGTCTTCATCCCTGTGGCTCATGATCCAAGAGGTGAACTGTTCTGATAGGATCAAGTTCCTACCCCTTAGGTCCATCTCTGGGTCAAGGGACCATGGCCTGTTATAATGAGGCCTGGATCACTACGAGCATCCTATAGCCATGCAATGGAAGTGGATTAGAGCTCCTGTAACTATTGTGAGAGGGCCAGGCCAGCACCATTTCGTTGTTTACAACAAAATGCCACAGGGCCACTCCCTGCTGCCTCCCCCACCCTGGTTGCACAAGTTGTTGAGCCGTTGATTAAGCCATCTTAAGCAACAGCTGCCTTATTAGGCGATAAGTTTCAGTTTCCTTGAAATTCAGGTATTCCCCTCAGTCACGCCAACCGGTTATCCAATCGGACTGCACCTCCTAGCCAGCCCACTATGAAGCCACTAGACAATCCCCCCCCCTCCACCTACACCAAGCCCAATCTTACCTGTGCTACAGGAACCCCTAACCACCAGTCAAAAATGTACTCATGCCTAACCTCACCTTTCTTGCTTTCTGTACCCTATAAAAACCTTTCACACCCCAGGCTCAGGGCTCTTCCTCGGTGTGCCCACCAGGAGAGTCCAGGGCCGGGCTTGAATAAAGCTCACCTCATGCTTTTACATCGGAGTGTGTCTCAGACTGTTTGTTGGGGAGTCTTGGGGGAACTTCGGGCACAACATTTGGTGCATTGGCCGGGAAGTTCTCCCAAACCCCCCACCGCGGGCTTGTTCCAACACCGCTCCGGAAGTGAGTTTGGTGTGTGTGTGCGTGCGTGCCGGCCGGCCGTGCATGAGGCATCTTGTACTAGTATTTCTGTGTCTATTGTTCTGATGATCATCCGGATCTGTCTGGAAGGGGATAGCAGCTAGATTGGACACGGTCGTGAACGCTGTTCCCCAGGTAGGGCGTGAGACGTCAGTCCTATCTCTGATTCTGGCCTCAGTCAGTGACTTTCGATAGCCCGCCAACGGAAAGGGGGGGATCGAAAAAGGTGACTGGCTGAGAAGTTCTAGGCCTTTGAATAGTCTGTTTCCATAGCCCGGCGACGGAAAGGGGGGGGCGGATCGAAAGGAATGACTGTTTAAGGGATTGGAAGATGTCTAGTTTGAATTGCTTCCACTAATTTTGGTTTTGAGTGTTGTGTAGAGTGTAGATTCAGAATCTTTCTCAAAGTCCTTTTAGATGACTGAACTCGCCCTCGGTCTTGGTGCCTGGAGGAATTTTATGAGTGGATCCTAGATCTCTATTTACAAGGCTCCTTGAGAGACTTCAGCCTCCGTGAGACTACCCTATTTAGTTTCTTAACTTATTGCCTTATTCATCTCTAAAAGCCTAAGTTTCTGATTAATATGGGCTTGTGGGGGGTGGACATTCCACTCACGGCCCGCCCGGAAGAGGCCGTTCTAATCCAGGATACCCCCGTCTACTCCTCCCGCAACTGGTTCCAGTAAGTTTGTTGCCCTTGCTATCAGGATTGTGGTATACACCATCTTGGTTCTCCTCTTACTTTTTCCTCTGTGAGTCCCTCTAATCATGGGCCAGATTAACGCAGTCCCCTTGTCCCTAATTCTGCAGCATTTTCAAGACTATAGAGAGAAGGCAAAGGAATACGAGTTTTCCGTTTCCGAGGCCACCTTGTTACCTTCTGTAAAAACGAGTGGCCCACTTTCCATATAGGGTGGCCTGAGGGAACCTTCCACCTCCCCATCATTTACCAGGTTAAGGATATTGTCTATAGACCTGGCATTGGGCATCCAGACCAGATTCCTTATATTACTGCCTGGCAAGATTTAGTGGAAGACCCCCCCAGCTTGGCTGAAGCCCATACTCCCACCTCCTGAAAAGGGCACCACTCGAATTCTCTCCTTACACGAGTGACAGAAACATAGAGCTAGACCCACGGCTCTGACTGTCCTCCAAGGACAGTCCCCTGAGGAGTTGTGCCCTCTCCCTTACCAACTTCCCGCAAGACTTGCAGCCCCCCGACCCCAGCCAGCACCTGCAGCCGAGGCTGCTACAGGGGGAGATCATTCCTCAGGTGAGGCGAGCCCGCCCCACACCAGGAGCAGGGGCCGCCCATCCCCCGACTCCACGGTCCTTCCGCTGAGGGCCTTGGGCCTCCCACCTGATGACCAGGGCAGATCTCCAATGTACTATTGTCTCTTTGCCACCAGTGATTTATATAACTGGAAAATACAGACTCCCAAATTTTCTGAAAAGCCCTCAGCCCTCATTGACCTATTAGAATCCATCCTCCTAACCCACCAGCCTACGTGGGAAGATTGTCAACAATTATTACAGATTCTATTCACCACCGAGGAATGGAACCGCATTCTTTTTTTTTTTTTTTTTTTTTGAGACAGAGCCTCAAGCTGTCCCCCTGGGTAGAGTGCTGTGGCATTACAGCTCACAGCAACCTCCAACTCCTGGGCTCAAGCAAGTCTCCTGCCTCCACCTCCCAAGTAGCTGGGACTACAGGCGCCCACCACAAGCCCAGCTATTTTTTGGTTGCAGCCGTCATTGTTGTTTGGTGGGTCTGGGCTGGGGATTCAAACCTGCCACCTTAGGTGTACGTGGCTGGCGCCTTAGCCGGTTGAGCTATAGGCGCCGAGCCCGGAACCACATTCTCAGTGAAGCTCAGTGGTCTGCACTCGGCCCGGATGGGTTACCAACTACCAACCAGGCTTTAATTGATGCTGCCTTCCCCCTAACACACCCCGAATGGGACTTCAACACCCCTGAAGGTAAGGAGAGGCTCCAGGTGTACCGCCAGACTCTAATGGGAGGGCTCCTGAAGGCTGCGAGGAAGCCAACCAATATTAGTAAAGTAGGAAATGTACAGCAAGAGCAGACTGAATCCCCATCAGCATTCTTGGAGCGGATTATGGAGGCATTCCGTACCTATACCCCTATAGACCCAGAAGCTGAGGAAAATCGGGCAGCGGTCGTTATGTTTTTTGTTAACCAATCTACACCGGATATTAGACAGAAACTTCAAAAGTTAGATAGGCTAGGAGAAAAGTCATTTAAAGACTCATTAGAAGTAGCTGAGAAAGTCTATAATAATAGGGAAACCCCAGAGGAGAAAAAAGAAAGGTGTGCCTGGCGACAAACCCAAGAATTAGCCAAGATCTTACTG